CACTTTAAAAAACTCTTCATAAATATTTTTATTGGCCACATATTCTGGTCAGTGGGTCATCGTTTACTTAATTTCCCAATAGTGGATATTTATCATTGTTTCCGTTTTTCTTGTTAGAAAGAATGCTGTGATTTACCTATAGGCAAAATTTTAAATACTGTAGACAAAAGTTAAAATATCTTACGTTTTTTAAATTTCATTGCCAGATTGCTTTCCCAAAGAATTGTGCCAATATGTGAACATGGCCATTTCATTCTACCTTCCCCATCGTTGGTTTTTATTTTTTTTTAATTGCTTGCTATTTTAATAGTGAAAAATGATATCACATTTTTATTGCTTTTCTCAATTATGTGGTTGGCCATATTCCCATATATTAATCATAGTGTTTCATATCTTGTAAACATTCTTTTTATGTCCTTTGCCCATTTATTTATTGCGAATTTTAAGATTTTTTTCTCATCAATTTTATGAGCTCCTGATTAACAACCTCCTTTACACCATTTTATTTGAATATTTTTATCAGGCTGGTTGTTTCAGCATAATGGGGATTTTGTATAGACCAATCTGTTGATAATTTCTTTGTGATTTTTTTTTATAATTAAATAGGCTTCCACCTGAAGACTTACAAATATTTTTAAATTCTTCTGCTGGTTTTATGACTTCCTTGTTCATGTTTTCTTTCACTTTTTCAGTGTATCACATGAAGTGAGTGTTAAACTGAACTTTTTTCCAATTTCCTCATCTCATTTATTGAGTCTTTCTCTTCCCCTTTGGTTTCTGATTTTTCTTTCCACAGCAAACAATGTTTGAGAATTTACTATGTGCTAGGCAGTGTTCTAAACACTTTATCTGTATTTTCTCATTTTCTTCTCACAACAACCCTGTAAGGAAATAGAGGCACAGAAACCTAATTTGCTGAAGTGACACAGCTAGTAAGTAAAGCTTGGTCACATATTCAGTTCTTCTGTGTACCTGCGCTCTCATTGTGCTGTTGTTTCTGTATTGTGGTTATCTTTCTATTTTTATGCCACTATCATTCTGTCCTAATTATTATGGCTGATATATGTTTCTGTCTCAAGAAAAGCTAATATCGGCTGGGCATGGTGGCTCACATCTGAAATCCCAGCACTTTGGGAGGCCGAGGCAAGCAGATCACCTGAGGTCAGGAGTTCAAGACCAGCCTGGCCAACATGGTGAAACCCGATCTCTACTAAAAATACAAAAATTAGCCGGGCGTGGTGGCACACACCTGTAGTCTTAGCTACTCAGGAGGCTGAAGCAGAAGAATTGCTTGAACCCAGGAAGTGGAGGATGCAGTGAGCCAAGATCGCACCACTGCATTCTAGCCTGGGTAACAGAGCAAGACTCTGTATGAAATAAATAAATAAATAAGCTAATATAACTGTAGTGTTTACTTCTTTTTCTATTCTTGCTTATGTTTCTAAGTGGATTTAAGGTTCCAAAATGTTTCTCATTGGAATATTTTTCAAAATTGCCTTAATCTATAAACTATACTAGAAATAATTGTAACTTTATAGTATCCCACCGAAGTCCTCTGTACCGTAGTGTTCGATATGTTCCAGGTGCTGACTAAATATTTGTTGAGTGAAAGAATGAATGAATGGAGAGACCTTAGTTTGTTATCTGCATCAAGTCTTAGTTTATACTTCTCATTAATATTTTTCAGATTTTTCCCTTTTGATCCTGCATATTTCATGTTAATGTTACTTCTTGACATTGTATATTTTTTCCCATAATTTTCTAATTATTTGTTGCCAATATCTGTTATTTCTGGGTTTTTTTGTTTTGAAATTTCCCAAATATTGTTAAAAAGATTGGCAATAGTGGGCATCCTTGTTTTGATTGTGATTTTAATAGAAATATAAGTTACTCTTCACCAACAAGATGTTGGGTGGTAGTGTGTAATACATTCTTTTATCTAGTTCTTAAAATATATTTTATAAGGAATAATTTTATGAAAGATTATAGGTTAACTCTTGTCTGACATTTTTCGGATTAAAGGAATTTGCTGTTGTTTGATAGCATCATTATGGAAGATACTGAATAGCACATATTTGTGATCTTTTAAGTTAGCCATAGAAGACATCTTCTCATTCTGCTGTGATAAGTGAATGTCTTTCTGACTTTCTTCTGGGTCCCTATTTCACTGATCTAAACCTGGTTTCTAGCAGAGAAGAGACTAAAGCAAGCACATCCTTGCATTCCCTTGCTTTCAGTTTGTAGAGCTGAAATGTTTCCATATATGGGAATTTCTCATAGCATTGGGTTTGGACATACAGATGTCATAATAATCCTCACAACAACAACATTACTGCATCTAGGAATATAGGTGAGCCAAGACACTTTGAAGGGTTTATGTGAATTATGTTATTTAATCTTCAGAAAAAATAAAACACTGTGAGTTCTGCTAGCCCATTTTATAGATGAGGAAACTGTGACTTAGAGCAGTGAAATAACTTGTCTGTGGTCATACAGCTGAGAAGTGGCAGAGGCAAATTGCCTGTAAAGTAGAGCCAAGCCTTAGGGATGGATGGGTGGAGATAGATATAGATATATGTGTATATAGGTATGTGTATATCTGTACACATATGCATACATATTTGATGTGCTTGAGAGATAGATGCTGAGGACTAACACATTTTGAAATTTTTCTGGAGCCAGTAATATAGTAGTACTTAGTGGCAAATAATGAGCCTTTTTCTGTTAATAATAAGAATACAATTTCTTTGGAAGGGAATACTATCTAATTATAGTTTCCCTCAGTATATTTCGGGGATTGGTTAGCAGACCCCTGTGTATACCAAAATCTGCACATATTCGAATCCCAAAATCGGCCCTGAGGAATGTGCTTCCTTATGGAACCTATTTATACAGTGTGTGGGTTTCACATCCCACAAATACTATACTTTCAATCTGCGTTTGGTTGAAAAAAATTATGTATAAGTGTGTCCATGTTGTTCAAGGGTCAACTTTACTTTAAGGCTAGATAATACTTCTGTCTAAGGACCTAGAGTCTGAGTAGTTGACATATATTGTACTTGTAAATTTACCAAGTTAGACTATGCATTTTGCAGACATGTCTGTAGGGTTGACATAATCCATAGGTGCTCCTAATGCAGTAGTCCGTAATTTGACTTTCTTATTAGTTTTCTCCCTAAAAATTCTAAGACAGCATTGAATTTTTGGTATCCTCAGAGGAAAAGACAGTTACCTCTAAGAAACCTACTTTCTGGGCGGGCACGGTGGCTCATGCCTGTAATCCCAGAACTTTGGGAGGCCGAGGCAGGCGAATCACCTGAGGTCAGGAGTTTGAGACCAGCCTGGCCAACATGGTGAAGCCCCATCTCTACTGAAAATACTAAAATTAGTCGGGTGTGTTGGCAGGTGTCTGTAATCCCAGATACTTGGGAGGCTGAGGCAGGAGAATTGCTTGAACCCGGGAGGGGGAGGTTGCAGTGAGCCGAGATTGCGCCATTGCACTCCAGCCTGGGGGATAAGAGCTAGACTTCGTCTCAAAAAAAAAAAAAAAAAAACTACTTTCTGTGGAAGTCGGTGTATATTTTTTTTAAATAATACACAAGTATATGGTAGAGTAGGGATTATCTAAGCAATTAGTCCCTATCATGGATGGTGAAGGTACTAATCAGTGTTTGGGAGGGAGTGGAGATAGCCTCCCCATATAGAGAGGTAATGCATTTTAAAATCATTTAGGGGACTTTTTCAAATAATCCTGTTTCTTCATGGTGACATTCCCTGACACAGTGAGCCAATCAGGTTTGCTAGGGCAGAAAATGTTCAAGAGCCACTGTACTAGACAGCGTAAAAGAGGACTCTCTTGTTGAAGCTTGATGGTAATTTTTCCATAATCCTGGTCTTTAAAAAGCAAAAAAAAAAAACCACATTAAAATGTTGTTACTTTTCTCTCTCTCAGTAGAAATGTTCCTAAACCAGCAAAGGAGGCTATCTGAATTTTTAAAAGTTTTTATGAAGGAACATAAAAATTCCTTTCTATAGTTTTTTCCCACCTCTAGAAATGCTTGAAATGAGATTCTGCCTTACGTCTCACAAATTAAATACCACATTTGTGTCTCATCCATCTCAGTTTTCCTATCTTGCATTTTAATCTATCCTGTTTCAGGACTTCTTTTGCTGCCTTGTGGCTGTTTCTTATGTTTGTTACTAATTCATAAGGTGGCTAACTTTCATATTTGTAGAAAATTTCTCAGTGATTATCTTTTAGTTGGAGTTCCAGTGTGGTTTCATTTGGAGTGTCAAGATCTGTCCCATGCCTAGCCTTAGTCCTCAGTCTGTTTTATTGGGTTCAACACCTGGTTGTAGTACCAAATGCCCTTTTCCCTTTCTCTCTCTCCTTCCTCTCTTCCTCCCTCAGTACTGCCCAAGTTGGTCACACTCAATGATTTTATTCTTAAGCTAATCTTATGTTTAATTTAGGTAAGTCACATTCTGATTTCTGATTTGCAAAATACAAATTTTCTTCTCCTTCATGTAGTAGGATTTTAATTTTATAAATATTTAAATTTTCCATTAATGATGTGTTAAATCTGCACTAAAACTGCTTCTTTACATGTTTTTAAATTTTTTCATTGTGGTTTTAACACTTTTTTTTTACATGCAAAAAACAAAACCATTAAACTTTTCTTATTAAAATGCAAAGCCTAGTGTCTTCTAGCTTGTTGAAGAGCTTTTGTCCATTATATAATCTGTAAAGTAGCCAAGAGTTCCTCAGAAGCAGGACATCATTTAGATTTAAAACAATTATGACTTGTCTGTAAAATAATAATGTAATATATTCATTCATGGGATGGCAGCTGCAATTTTACTTCAGTGACAAAATCCTTGGATACTACCACCGTTCTATTTACCTTAAAGATTTTACCAAGGTACCCTAGAACAAAAATGGTGAGGTCATTTTTATTCTGATAAAGTTGATATGACTAGAAAACCAAATGACACAGTTATGAGCATAGACCTTTTATTTTCCAGATGTTTGACAGTGTAAACATACATAAAATACATATTAAAGTTTAGATGCTTTATATTTTGTGCAATAAATTGAAGCCTTAAAAAGAAAACATTTTTTTATAAAAGAAACTCATTAGTTTACTTAATTAAGACAGTAAAATAGCAGCAAGTACCAAGGCATTGTGCATTTCTTTTATTTAAGACAAGTTACTTCATTTACATCAGAGTCAGAAATGTTAAGACTGGCTTTCTTGAATACTTAATATAGCTTGAATCACTGGTTAGATATGAACATATTTTCCCAACTGTACATCAGGGAGGAGTGCTTTCATTAGTTTCAGAAAATGCAGACCCTCAGACAGCCAGCATGACCACAACATTGAGCATTAAGAGAAATGAAGCATTTACTTTCCAAGCATTTGCCACAGAAGGTAATTGAGTCTTTACGTTTGTGGTTGTCTCTTCCCTCCGTAAGTTAAGGGTTGTGCTTTGTTGAGGCATTTCAGAGAAATTATTTGGCATGCCACTAGTGATACTTAGGGTCATGGGTGTTGGGGATGATTTTGTTGAGCTAGTGAGGCTTGTGTTTGTAACCATTCCATCTTGGAGATGAATAGTTAGAGTTGCAGCTGCTGCTTCATGTGAATTGATAGTCTCTGTGGATGTATCTTCTGGATAGGGCACAAAAGCCTTATCAGTGCTAGTAAAGGTGGTGTCTTTGCTTAGAGTGGCACCAAACGTTGTTTCCTTTGTTCGATATTGTTTGGGGATTTTGGTCACTTTGGGTTGAGTTACCACACTCAGAGAGTTAATGGTGTCCACTGTCTGCATCCCACTTACAGTGAATAAGCTTGAGGTAAATCCAGAAGGTGTGGGATATATGTTATGTTCCTTTAAAGATGATATTTGGGTAGAACATGGAGTCCCTATCACTTGGGCTTTTGTTTCCATCATCCACTTCAGTAAGTAAGTAATGTTTTGTTTATGGTCACATGACCACCTGTTATTGTAAAGGGTTATCTCTTGCAACTGAAAGAGCTGGTCAAAAGATTGGTCTGGAATGAATGTGAACTTATTGTTGTGCAGGTAGAGATGCGTGAGATTTGTCAGGTTTATTAATGTACCTGGAAGGATTTGTGTCAAAGAATTATTAGACAGGTCCACGATATGTAGTTTGAAGGGCATGTTGGTTGGAACTGTCCAAAGTTTGTTACTACTGAGGTTGAGAACCTCAAGACTTCTTAGTGTATTTTTAATGAGGACAACCTTTTCCAGCATATTCTTAGAAACATCCAGATATTTAAGATTCCACTGATAAGCAGTATCAGATTTGTCAAGAAGTTTAATGTTGTTGTTAGCAGCAGACATGTTCCACAGAGACCGAGGTAACTGAGCAGGCAGGCTTTCAAGCCTGTTGTTTGAAATGTCCAGGGTCCTCAGATTGGTATATTGGGTTAACTGGTTATGCAGATCAGTAAAGTGGTTATAAGACAGGTTTAAATGTATAATATTCTCTTGCAGTCCAGATGGTAATGTAGTCAAGTTTCTGCCTGAACAGTCCACATGCCTGTGCCTTTCTGTGCATATACATTGCAGAGGACAAATGCATAAAATACCAGGTGTGAGAAACAGAAGGATGAACAGGCAGAGAGACATTTTCAATATCTGATATTCCATCAAAGCCTAGAAACAAACAGATACACCCTTCTTTTAATATGCAAATACAGTTTAGGCATCTGCATGGGTCACTTAGCATTAGGCAAAATTTTCAATAAACCTCGTTGTTGTTGAGTCCTTTTATAATTGTTCCAGTGATTAAACTAACAAAGCTCCCCTTCATTTATAGTCCAAATGCTTAATCCTTCAATTGGGCTATGTGGTAGAGAGAGACTCTCTCCCTACTCTCTCCTGCATTTTCTCCTTTATTTTCTCTCCCCCTCCCCCCTTTTCTAACCATATTCTTTCTTATTTATCTTTCTAGAGCCTTAATATGATAAAATAGCATTCTTTGCAAATAAAGAGTTGCAGTTGTAAGCTATTACTATTTTTGATGATATGCTTTCTTACTCAGATGAGAAAAAATGGCTGTCGTGTCTTTTTTTTTTTAATCTCTGCAGTAATGTAATTCAATGTGTGTGTATAGGGTAGATTTTATTTAGATATTAAAGCAGTTCTTCGAAATGTTATCTTTTTGTTTTTAGGATAAATATATCTTTGTAAAAGGCACTTGAAAAATCCAGACCAACACTGTACCTATAAACCTCACATTTTATAAAGTGGTTTTTTCTATATATTTCAGTGCCCATTTTAAAGGAAAACAATATATTTACAAAGTGAATGAATATATAAAAAATATCCCTCAACTGACACTGCAGCAAATTTCTGGTGCATGCACTTGCTATTGAATATATATTTAATCTTAACGTTGACTTTTTCTTAAAAAGGAAAAAGATTCCAAAGTCAGCCTTTTACTGATTTAAATAACATCTTACCGTAGTGTCGTCTTCAATATCAGCATCTCATTTTCTCTGGGAAACTTAAAGCTTAAAGGTCGTCTTGTTCTGGAGAGTCGGAACTGTTTCTGGCTGTGGGCTGTGCTTGCCTGCTCAGCTGCATTGTGTTGCTGTGAGCTGAAGCTCTGCAACCACCTGATCAGTACCACATAGGAGGACTGCAGAGCTGTCGCTGGTGCTGACTCAAATTTATGGTGCACACGCAACAAAATGGACAATTTTTTAAAAAATTTACGGCATCAAGTGTACCTATATATCTGATTTGCTATAGGATGGGATACCTTATGCACATTAGAGTTGGCCCTTACTCCTTTCTATGTATTTGTCTGAGATTGGGTTCCATATTTTAACATTTGTCTCATTAAGAATCTTTTTAAATACCTCTACTCTTTATCCTTTTTACATGTTGAAAATGAATTTGACCTTCCTCATGGATAGTTTTCTATGATATTAGTCCCACTATTTTTAACTCCTGCCTTTTTATATTCCTTTCTAAAATGGTATAATTTTCATGTCACATTTTTAATATTAAAAAAATCTGTTCTCTGATTTTTATGTCTTCCTCCAACATGGTGATTATTATGTTTAATCAGCTTTTCAAATTTATCAACCACTTAAATGTGCCATCTTCCCTCTTAGGATGTATAGAATTACTGAAATATGATTATTTTTTCTTTATCTTTCTGATACAATGGATCATTTGACCAAGGCTATACACAAGCCAGGATACATTTGGAAATTAGCATCTTATACTTTAGATTATCACTTCCTATGGTAAAATAAACATGTTTTATTTTATATATTTGGGGTTAAAGTTTTTTTTCTTTATGAAACCTTGGATAGTAAGTGGATATGAGTATTGTTTTTTCCAAAGACATTTTTGGTGCTATATGAATGACCATTTATTTGATTTTATGTTTTAAGAATAACAGTATCAATTTAGGCGATTTCAGAGTATTGCACATTTCAGCTTTCTGGGAAAGTAGTTTATAGTTTTAAAATTACATGAGGCCGGGCGCAGTGGCCCAAGCCTGTAATCCCAGCACTTTGGGAGGCCGAGACGGGCGGATCACGAGGTCAGGAGATCAAGACCAACCGGGCTAACACGGTGAAACCCCGTCTCTACTAAAAAAATACAAAAAAATTAGCCGGGCGTGGTGGCGGGCGCCTGTAGTCCCAGCTACTCGGGAGGCTGAGGCAGGAGAATGGCGTAAACCCGGGAGGCGGAGCTTGCAGTGAGCTGAGATCCGGCCACTGTACTCCAGCCTGGGTGACAGAGCGAGACTCCGTCTCAAAAAAAAAAATAATAATAAATAAATAAATAAATAAAATTACATGAAATAATGTAAGAGGAAAATTTTTCATCATGAATTTTATAAAATGAGGTCAAATTTATGATAAATTTTGCTCCACTCTTCAGTGGACTGCTTGCATAAATCTGTTAAAACACAAATCTGATTTCCAGAATGGCCAGTTTACTTTAAAGCAAGCAAATAAAGTTATGGTATTTCGTTACCAAGTGGCACCATTTAAAAATGAGTAATATTTAGCATATTATATGTAAGGAAAATCCCTTTATGCCTTGTTACTAAATCATTTGTTTTTTCTCTAAATTATATTAGCATTATTTAGATTATACCACAAATAGAATTTGTTGTATTAAAATTTGAAGTTTCTTTTTTTTTTTTTTTTTTTTTTTTTTTTTTAGGCGGAGTCTCGCTCTGTCGCCCAGGCTGGAGTGCAGTGGCCAGATCTCAGCTCACTGCAAGCTCCACCTCCTGGGTTTATGCCATTCTCCTGCCTCAGCCTCCCGAGTAGCTGGGACTACAGGCGCCCGCCACCTCGCCCGGCTAGTTTTTTGTATTTTTAGTAGAGACGGGGTTTCACCGTGTTAGCCAGGATGGTCTCGATCTCCTGACCTCATGATCCACCCGTCTCGGCCTCCCAAAGTGCTGGGATTACAGGCTTGAGCCACCGCGCCCGGCCTTCTTTTTTTTTTTTTTATTATACTTTAAGTTCTAGGGTACAGGTGCACAACGTGCAGGTTTGTTACATATGTATACATGTGCCTTGTTGGTGTGCTGCACCCATTAACTCGTCATTTACCTTAGGTATTATCTCCTAATGCTATCCTTCCCCCCCTACCCCCTCCCCACAATAGGTGTGTGATGCTCCCCTTCCTGTGTCCAAGTGATCTCATTATTCAATTCCCACCTGTGAGTGAGAACATGTGGTGTTTGGTTTTCTGTTCTTGCGATAGTTTGCTGAGAATGATGGTTTCCAGCTGCATCCATGTCCCTACAAAGGACACGAACTCATCCTTTTTTATGGCTGCATAGTATTCCATGGTGTATATGTGCCACATTTTCTTAATCCAGTCTGTCACTGATGGACATTTGGATTGATTCCAAGTCTTTGCTATTGTGAATAGTGCCACAGTAAACATACGTGTGCATGTGTCTTTATAGCAGCATGACTTACAATCCTTTGGGTATATCCCCAGTAATGTGATGGCTGGGTCAAATGGTATTTCTAGTTCTAGATCCTTGAGGAATCACCACACTGTTTTCCACAATGGTTGAACTAGTTTACAGTCCCACCAACAGTGTAAAAGTGTTCCTATTTCTCCACATCCTCCCCAGCATCTGTTGTTTCCTGATTTTTTTTAATGATTGCCATTCTAACTGGTGTGAGATGGTATCTCATTGTGGTTTTGATTTGCATTTCTTTGATGGTGAGTGATGATGAGCATTTTTTCATGTGTATGTTGGCTGTATGAATGTCTTCTTTTGAGAAGTGTCTGTTCATATCCTTTGCCCATTTTTTGATGGGGTTGTTTGTTTTTTTCTTGTAAATTTGATTGAGTTCTTTATAGGTTCTGGATATTAGCCCTTTGTCAGATGAGTAGATTGCAAAAATTTTCCCCCATTCTGTAGGTTGCTTGTTCACTCTGATGGTAGTTTCTTTTGCTGTGCAGAAGCTCTTTAGTTTAATTAGATCCCATTTGTCAATTTTGACTTTTGTTGCCATTGCTTTTGGTGTTTTAGACATGAAGTCCTTGCCCATGCCTATGTCCTGAATGGTGTTACCTAGGTTTTCTTCTAGGGTTTTTATGGTTTTAGGTCTAACATTTAAGTCTCTAATCCATCTTGAATTAATTTTCATATAAGGAGTAAGGAAAGGATCCAGTTTCAGCTTTCTACTTATGGCTAGCCAATTTTCCCAGCACCGTTTATTAAATAGGGAATCCTTTCCCCATTTCTTGTTTTTGTCAGGTTTGTCAAAGATCAGATGGCTGTAGATGTGTGGTATTATTTCTGAGGGCTCTGTTCTGTTCCATTGGTCTATATCTCTGTTTTGGTACCAGTACCATGCTGTTTTGGTTACTGTAGCCTTGTAGTATACTTTGAAGTCAGGTAGCGTGATGCCTCCAGCTTTGTTCTTTGACTTAGGATTGTCTTGGCAGTGCGGGGTCTTTTTTGGTTCCATATGAACTTTAAAGCAGTTTTTTCCAATTCTGTGAAGAAAGTCATTAGTAGCTTAATGGGGATGGCATTGAATCTATAAATTACCTTGGGCAGTATGACCATTTTCACAATATTGATTCTTCCTATCCATGAGCATGGAGTGTTCTTCCATTTGTTTGTGTCCTCTTATTTCACTGAGCAGTGGTTTGTAGTTCTCCTTGAAGAGGTCCTTTACATCCCTTGTAAGTTGGATTCCTAGGTATTTTATTCTCTTTGAAGCTATTGTGAATGGGAGTTCACTCATGATTTGGCTCTCTGTTTGTCTGTTACTGGTGTATAAGAATGCTTGTGATTTTTGCACATTGATTTTGTATCCTGAGACTTTGCTGAAGTTGGTTATCAGCTTAAGGAGATTTTGGGCTGAGACAATGGGGTTTTCTAAATATACAATCATGTCATCTGCAAAGAGGGACAATTTGACTTCTTCTTTTCCTACCTGAATACCCTTGATTTCCTTCTCTTCCCTGATTGCCCTAGCCAGAACTTCCAACACTATGTTGAATAGGAGTGGTGAGAGAGGGCATCCCTGTCTTATGCCAGTTTTCAAAGGGAATGCTTCCAGTTTTTGCCCATTCAGTATGATATTGGCTGTGGGTTTGTCATAAATAGCTCTTATTATTTTGAGATACGCTCCATCAATACCGAATTTATTGAGTTTTTAGCATGAAGGGCTGTTGAATTTTGTCAAAGGCCTTTTCCGCGTCTATGGAGATAATCATGTGGTTTTTGTCTTTGGTTCTGTTTATATGCTGGATTACGTTTATTGATTTGTGTATGTTGAACCAGCCTTGCATCCCAGGGATGAAGCCCACTTAATCATGGTGGATAAGCTTTTTGATGTGCTGCTGGATTTGGTTTGCCAGTATTTTATTGAGGATTTTTGCATCGATGTTCATCAGGGATATTGGTCTAAAATTCTCCTTTTTTGTTGTGTCTCTATCAGGCTTTGGTATCAGGATGATGTTGGCCTCGTAAAATGAGTTAGGGAGGATTCCCTCTTTTTCTATTGATTGGAATAGTTTCAGAAGGAATGGTACCAACTCCTCCTTGTACCTCCGGTAGAATTCGGCTGTGAATCCGTCTGGTCCTGGACTTTTTTTGGTTGGTAGGTTGTTAATTATTACCTCAATTTCAGAGCCTGCTATTGGTCTATTCAGGGATTCAGCTTCTTCCTGGTTTAGTCTTGGGAGAGTGTAAGTGTCCAGGAAATTATCCATTTCTTGTAGATTTTCTAGTTTATTTGCGTAGAGGTGTTTATAGTATTCTCTGATGGTAGTTTGTATTTCTGTGGGGTCGGTGGTGATATCCCCTTTATCATTTTTTATTGCGTCTATTTGATTCTTCTCTCTTTTCTTTTTATTAGTCTTGCTAGTGGTCTATCAATTTTGTTGATCTTTTCAAAAAACCAACTCCTGGATTCATTGATTTTTTTTGGAGGGTTTTTTGTGTCTCTATCTCCTTCAGTTCTGCTCTGATCTTAGTTATTTCTTGCCTTCTGCTAGCTTTTGAATGTGTTTGCTCTTGCTTCTCTAGTTCTTTTAATTGAAGTTTATTTTCTTACAAGAGAAATTACACTCGAGGAGCCACCTTTTGTATAAAACTAATATTGCTTGAAAAGTGTCTATATTTTAAAAGTCTGCAACATAGAAATTTATTGTTGATTAGGTACTTTATTGCCACTTTACTTTGAGGGTTCAGTTGAACTCTTAATGAGATTCTTACTGTGGATTTAGGAAACCAGCCATCATTCGTAGTGCTTAAAATAGTATGTTAAAAATACTACATTCAGCAATATTGTGGAAATAGGGAATGCATTGACATTTAGAGTTCTGTTTAAGCTCATATATACACTGCTGCACTTCTAAAGATGTGACTGAGGGTCAATTTACCGACCACTTAAATCTCTTAATTTTAGGAAACCTCATTAAGTCAATGTGGAAGTAGAGTTATGCATTTTCATTACACTTAACAGTACTTTTGTTTGAAAGAAAGGACATGTTACTTCATTAATGGATTCAAATGAATTTGGGTTTAGGCTGTATCAAGTTTAGTTTCTGTTGCATATAATAGAAGATTCCAACACAATAGTAGTGGCAGTATTTCTCATTTCAAGTTTGGGGCATACCAAATTGCTTCATATTATTCAAAGATATTGTAAAATTCTCAAAAAGAAAAAGGGAGATCATTTCAACATATTTGAATTGTAACAGTCTCTTACACTTTTAGAAATTCTCATGAAATAAAATAATACTATATTACTGTTACTCAAAAAATACTTTTTAGAGGCATAAGTATTTGTTACAACTTATTTTAAGTATTATTCAGACTCATTACATTTTATATTAGTCTGTCTAGGTCAGTAATGATAGCTAGTTAGGCAACTTTTACATTCTAGGTTAAGCAGTGAATTAATTTACATATTCTTTTGTGTCCTAGAATATATTAGCCCAACATTGTGAAAGGTATCACAAAGCATCTGCCAGGGAATAACTATCCCACGCTAATCACTGGTTTCAGTTTTCCATTATTAGAGATAACATTTGCTATGCTTGAGTGTCAGATATTGTTTATTTTTGGTAATATGGTTGGCTATTTAGACTGATTTTCCTGCTGAATACAACTGAGAGTACTCAATACAGTATTTTAAAAGCATGAAAGAACAACATAGAAATTACCAAGTCAAAATCCAAGTGAATCAGTTTCTTTGCCCACCTCCCTACTCCTTTTTTACTTTATGCCACTGGCTTGTTGCCAAAACTCAGTCAATTATTTCCTAAAATGTCTCTCATCTTGGAGTTTTCTCTTTGCCTCTTTGGGAAGATTTAATTTGTTCTTCTGTCCCCCATATTTTCTCTAAGTGGTTCCTAATATCATTGATATAATTACTTATTTGCATCATCTCTCAGTAATTTCAAAATAATGCCAGCATTGACTGCTACAATTAGATTATAGACTACCGAATAAAGTTTAAAATTTCTTCATAGCTCTGCTTGTTTTATTTTCCTAAAAGTGTATAGTAAATTCTGTGTTCTAATGCAATGTGAAATAATTCTTTTCTCTATATTTTTATGTCACCAACTTGATATAAACTTTGTTTTAGTTTTCAGCTTTTCAGGATCACAAGTCAAAATTATATAACAAGGTATATTCAGATAAATCTTGCTTCTCTGTCTTTTCCATCCTGTTTCCTTCCTTCTCCTATTAGTGACTTTTTATTAGCTTTTCATTATATCATTAACCTTTCTTTTTGAAAACCTAAAAAAATGTATTTAAGCATATGTATGGTATGTTCTTATCCCCCCTTCTAATATAAAAGGTGATATATATATACATACTGTTACATATCTTGTTCTTTTTTTCTTACTGTATCTTATCACTCCATATCAGTATATAGGTATCTGATTCATTTTTTGATCCATAGTACTCCATTTGGGAATGTACCATGGCTTATTCAACCAGTCCCCTATTGGTGTACATCTAGGTTTTTTTCAGACTTTTGCTTTTACAAATAATGCCACAGTGAATACCATTGTACCTAAGTAATTTTATATGTTTGCCAGTAAATCTTTGAAAACGATTCCTACAAGTAGGATTGCTGGGTAAAAGGGTAAATGCATTTGGAATTTTTCCAGACATTACTAAATTTCTCTCCATTGATTATACCATTTTGCAGTCCCACCAACAGTGTAGCGGGGTGTCCAGTTCTATACAGCCTCACTGTATCCTTTGTTGTTGAACTTTGGGATTTGTTGTCCATCTGATAGTCAAGTGTCTCCGTCTAATTTTAAATGCATCTCTGTAATTATGAGGGAGAGTGTATGTCTTTACATATGTTTAAAGACCATTTAAATGTTTTCTCTTGTAACTATCTTTTTTATGTTTTGCACTATTAAAAGTTGTGTTTTGGGTTTTCCCCTTCCCGCCCCATATTAGGAGCGTTTTAAATTTTAGAGGTATTAGCACTTTGTCTTAAGTTTTAATTTTTTTTCCAGTTTGCCGTTTATCTTTTGGCTTTATTATGGTGAGGTGTGTGTGTCGGTTATGCTCACGTGCATGTGTATGACATTTAAAAGTTTCGTATAATTTCTCTTTTTACTGCCTCTGGATTTTGAGTCTCAGCTAGGAAGGTTTTTTCCCACTTCCAGATTATAAAGGAATTCACTCATATTTTCTTCTGTTACTTGGATAATTTCATGATTTATATTTAGAACTCTGATCCTTGGTGTTTATTCTAATATAGTGTGAAGTATGGATCAAATTTTCTCTTTTTTCCAGCTGTCTATCCAATGCTTGTTTCCACTGATTTGATATTTATTTCTGGACTTTTTCTTCTGTTCCATTGATCTGTTTGTTTAGTCATATACCAGTACCACAATGTTTTAGTTATAGGTTCCCAAAGGTGCTACTTTATTTTTTGATCAGAATTAGGTAAGAACAACAGTTAAAGATCAACCGCATTGGATTCATTTGTGTCCCTCACCATTCACACCAAATAGAAGACTTATGTGATATATGTATGTTTCAGTGCATGATGTAAGTGCTCTTTGGTCCTATATTAGTGAAAAGAGTGTTGAACCAGTAGTCAGGGAGCAAACTCAGCTTTTAGTACCGCTTCTAAGCATGTCACTTACTTTCTCTGGTCCTGTTTTCTCAGTAGTTAACAAACAAAAGGAGTTGAACCAAATGCCCTTCAGGGTTGTGTCTGACTCTGGTTAATGCTGTTCTGGTTAAGAGCCCCACTAGTATGTGGTGTGAACTTTAATCTACCTTTTATTCCCCTGCGCCTTGCTCTTTTGCAGTATTCATGTAATAAACTTTCTCTTCTGGATCTTAGTTCTTTAATCTTTTCTCTAAAAGATTTTTCTTTGTTCCAGCATTTTCTTCTGTCCTATATTTATTAGTTTGTATCTCTTCCTGCTGATTAGCAAGGATTGCCACTGTTTGGCTGCTCAGCTTCCACTGACCTCATCGGGGAAAATTACATGCGATTAAATGTGAATTATTCTTCCCCCAGCAAAGAATTTCTTTTAAAAAAAGGAAAAAAGACAACATAAAAACCCAGCTGCTGCCAGTAGTCTGTCCTGTTATACAAAGAACAGAAAGAGAAAAGCTCCCTTTAAAGTACTTAAAGATACCAGACAAGACTACGGTCAACTAATCAGTTCCTGTTTAATCTAAGAAAATTGGTATTTCCCTATTTTTCCTGGTATTTCTTTCAGGAAAGAAGGTGGTTAAAAAGAGACAAAAATGTGGAAAGAGCCCATTAAGTAACTGTCATAAATGTAAAATGAGAAGAGTTATGATGTTTTAAGGTATGTCAAAGACTTGGCCAAGTATAAAAACATATCTTATTTACCATAACAAAAATTCTTAAAATTCAAAAGAATAATAGGAAATTATAAACTCCAGATTGCTGCTGGGGAAATTAGCTTTAAAAGTACTAAGTTTGGGCCAGGCACGGTGGCTCACACCTGTAATCCCAGCACTTTGAGGGCCTGAGGCAGGTGGATCACGAGGGCAAGAGTTTAAGACCAGCCTGGCCAATATGGTGAAACCCCGTCTCTACTAAAAAAAAAAAAAAAAAAAAAAAAAAAATTAGCCAGGCGTGGTGGTGCACATCTGTAGTCCCAGATACTCAGGAGGCTGAGGCAGGAGAATCACTTTAACCCAGAAGGCGGACGTTGCAGTGAGCCAAGATCATGCCACTGCACTCCAGCCTGGGTGACAGAGTGAGACTCTGTCTCAAAAAAAAGTACTAACTTTGAAGAATACATGAAAGAAACTTTTTAATGAGGAAGACAAAAGATGTAATGTAATATGACAATAAGTATTATGCTTATTCAGGAAAAGAAGCTCCAGGAAGTGTTTCTACAGATTAAAATATTAAGGTTAGTAAAGATGGCTTGAAAGATTTTAGGAAAAACATTGTACGTAAAATTCATGTGTCCAAAACCCTACTGGTTCTTATTAAATATGGAGCTTTGTTAATGTCATGAATGCCAGTGCTATGAATAAATGCTATGTTCTATTCTGAAAATCCCAGAACTCTGAGTGATTCTCCAAGACTGGGCTACCATTTTATTCTAAGTGCTTGTTTCCCCCTGGAGTTAAATGGGACTAATGAGGAAGAGTATGTGCTTGTTGGGCAAAGGAGTGCTTCTGCAGACACAGGCTGGCATCCCCAAAATCTCAGGCTACTGACCACTCTTGACTTTGACAAAGATTGGGCCCATTCCTACTCTAATAACTCAGACTTACCAATTGTCAGATAATGGATAAAGATGAAATTCTGTATAAGAAAGGTGATTTAAGAGTGGATAGCATCAGAAAGTATAAGTTTAGTAAAAAGTTGAGAATCATCTGTGTTTTGATAGTCTTTTTTCCTGAAAAAAAATCACCCAAAATCACCCGTATTTAGAATGAAACCATAGTCTTCTTTTTCTTTTTTTTCTTTATAAAACTTGATTTTGTTTGGGTGTTTATAAAGAAGAAACGTTTTAAAGATGCTAGTTTTAAAATTTGTGCCTCCCCACGACATGATAGGAAAATATTTACATTTTATGATGTATCCTCATATTTTTTTCAGGGTAAATGTCTTTAACCCAACCCTTCAGTTGATGTTTTAACATGTTTGCTTTACTCTTCGTGATGAAACCAAGAAGAAAGTTTCTCTATTCTCAAACATGCATTTTAATCTCCCATTCCCACAAACTTGGAATATTTATTTAATACTTGAGGTATTAATTTAAAACTTGGAGTGTATACTTAGTCTCTTATTCCTCTCCACCCCAGTCTTTGAAATGGAAACATAAAAGTTTATTCACAATAAGTTTATACACAGCTTTTCAGGGAAAAAAAAAACTGTACTGGGGTAATAATAAGTATATGTAGATTGTTTCAGAGTGATTAAATTATTGAAACATACACCATTTACATATGTAAAATGTACTATACTTTAAAGATAGGAACTATAGTAAATAGATTACTGTTAAATAACTTTTTAAAAAAAATGTTTCATCTGTGCACATGGGCTCTGAGTAGATTTCAGATAGTTCCTGAATAAAAATCAAAATTGACTATCAGTTGCCATTTTGTATATGTTAACATATAAAGAAAAACAAAAGAGTCATTTGAGGATGGAAGATCAGCTAAAAAGCAAGTTGTAATATTTATAACAGTTCTGCAGGTGGAGGTGGCAGAGATTCATTAAGATCTTGATCAGAGTTGGGAGGAATAGAGAACTCCTGACACTGGATCTCAAGGTTGGAATCTTCTTGATTTTTCATAAAATCTACCGGTGGCATGGGCAAGTTAAGTGAGTCAGGCGGGGGTGGAAATGATTGTATTATCTCAGATTTATGATCTCCGCAGTCTTGATTGAGACAGTCCAGAGATGGAGGGAAACTAGTAGAATCATTTGGAAGAGGAGATACAATTGTCATTATGGGTTTGTCAGATTGGTTACTTTCCTGTCTTTCCAAATCCAGAAGGGGAGGTGGTGGAGGCAGATCTGCATCATCTGAAGAAGAAATAGCAGTTCCAATTGTTGATCCATCAGCACTATCTTCTGATGTACCATTTGCTTGATCTTTTGTTTTCTCTGTTTTGGGGTTGTTGGAGTCTTCAGTGTTTTCACTTGATTCAGACAACTTAATTTCTAAGTCATCTGCTAAAAGTGTGCTTTTGCTTGGTTTCCAGGGTGTAAGTGAAATGACTGAGGTATGTTTTGTGGATATTTCATTTTCTCTGATGTTATCGATACAAATGTCAGGGGTTTCTCCATCAGCAAATGGAGATCTACCTGCCCAATTTGGATCATTTAAAACTGGTTTCCTTAAGCATTTCCAAAGTACAATGATGATTATAGCTACCAACATGGAAGTCAGAAGTACACCAATTAGTATGGCAGCTGTTGAATTATAATTGTTTTTTTGTGGAGTTTGTTTGTTACTGGTAACATCTAAGATAAATCCTGGTGTACTCCTAGGTGAATTTTTGACAGTTGATATTGGTTGTGTGGATGGATTATGAACCGTTGGTGTTATTAGTTTTGTAGAAGGGATCTGGACAGTTGATGATTGTTGAGTGAAAGTGTAGACAAATGGCGTTGGTGGTTGTGTGGTAGAAGTATGGGAAGATGGTAGTTGTCTGGCAGAGGTGAACACAGCTTGCTGGGAGGAGGTGTTGGCCATTGGTGTTGGTTGGTTGGTGTTGTAGGCAAGTGGTTGTCCAGCAGAAGTATGTGCTGCTGGTTTTTCAGAAGAGATATAGACAGCTGGTGTTGGTTGTCCAGCAGTGACTTTGGCAGGTGATACTGATTGTCTAGAAGAAATGTCGTTGAATTGCATTGGTTGACCCAAAGGATTCCCTGTTGTGTTTTGAGAATTAGCCAATACATGTGACATTAATGATGTGACCAAGGTGGGCTGTGACTGCTTCTCTGTTGTAATCGTCTCTGTCTTTGAAAAAAATGTATTGTTCAGGTGTCCACAAAACAAAATTAAGATGAAATATTTGGGATCCATTTCAGAATATTTCCTCCTTACCTATAGTGGGTTTAAAATGAAAGAGAAAGACAGGTGTCATTGGTGTCTAGTTAAAAATTTGACTTTTCATTATAATGCCTGGCATAAAGTAGGTAGACATTATTCCTAATTAGTAGTAGTTGATTAGTAGTTATTATTCCTAATTTAGACTTGATACACTGTAGGCTTGGTGTAACAACTCTTGGGTATACTCTAACCCATCATACAGCATTTGGACCTCATAAGCAGTGGTCTCTCTTCTTTTATTAATACAAGTTCTGCACTTGGCTCTGCTGCCCCTCTAGCTTCATTATATTTCAGTACTTCACTTCAGTCATACTTCTCAAAATGCATAGGCTCTATATGCTGGATCCATGTGCTCTCTACCTTTTTTCACCATTTACTACTAGAAATATATTGATTCTCCTGCCTTGAAGAACACTAGTGACCATCTATTACCTAATCCAATTTTTTTTTATTTCTTCTCTCCCCTCCCCTCCTTGACCACATTAGTCACTACTGTTCCTTCACTAATATTCAAGTAGCTTTTTGTAATCAGTCTTCCTTTCATGTTACTCTCACTAGCTCTTTTTCTTCTGCCTTCTAAATATGGTTAATTGATATTCAGTCCTCACCCTTACCTACTTCTCTTTTTTCCTGATTCTGTAAGATTTTAGTTCTCAGCTTTATGCCACAATTCCCAAATCTCTACCTCCAGTCTACATCTTCTTTGTCTTAATTCTATTTGTATGACTTCTTGGTGGATGTTTTTATGTATATATACACATATATATACACACACACACGTATGTATATATGTGTGTATATATATAAACACATATATATATATCTCCATCCCACTATCAGGAAATTTAACATATTTAAAATGGAATTCATCTTTACCCTCACAACGGACTCTTCTTCCGACTTATCTATATCCGTTAATGGTACCACTCAGTTTCTTAGGCACAGACACAGAGTCTATTAGTAATCTTTGCAGCATCCTCAGTGTCTCTGTAGCATGGTAGCCTGATGTTAAGATTGCATATTTTTAAAGGATTCAATTCAACTCAGAGTCCTAGGCTTAAAATCCTAGAGTGATCTCTGAATCTGGTGGAATAAATTCAATCCAGTTGGTCAAGTAGTCCTGCTGCTGCTTTCATTCATTTATTGGTAAATGCCACATTTGTGTGGAGCCCTGTTCTAGGTTTAGGAGATTTAAAAAAATTTTTTTTAAAAAAAGATAGTTACTGCCTTCAAGTGTTTCAGATTCTAGTGGTAGAAGCAAACAGTAAAAGCCAGGCGTGGTGGCTCATGCCTGTAATCCCAGCACTTTGGGAAGCCAAGGTGGGGGGATTGATTGAGGCCAGGAGTTCAAGAACAGCCTGGACCACATAGTGAGATCCCATCTCTAAATAAAAAGAAGAAAGAAAAAAAACCTAAAAAATAATTACAATAATTTTTTCTTTCTTTCTTTCTTTCTTTCTTTCTTTCTTTCTTTCTTTCTGTCTGTCTGTCTGTCTGTCTTTTTGTAGACAGTCTTAACTCTGTCGTCACCCAGGCTGGAGTGTAGTGGCGTGATCTGGGCTCACTGCAAACTCCGCCTCCCGGGTTCAAGTGATTCTTCTCCCTCAGCCTCCAAGTAGCTGGGACGCATCACCACGCCCGGCTTATTTTTGTATATTTAGCACAGACGGGGTTTCACCATGTTGGCCAGGCTGATCGAGAACTGATCTCAGGTGATCTGCCCCCCTCGACCTCCCAACGTGCTGGGATTACAGGTGTGAGCCACCACACCTGGCCCAATTACAATAATTTGATAAGCTTTCTCATAAAGGTATGCAGGAGAAGTACAGAGAAGTTAGCCTAGCCTGGGAAGGCTTCAATGAAGTAAAACTGGAACTGAATTTTAAAAGGTCTGTAAGAACTAATTAAACAAATTTCCAGCCAGGGAGAGCAACAATGTGGGCACAGGAAAATAAGGCACATATGAAAGTTTGGCAGGTAGGGCTTTTTCTGGGAAGTGGTAGATGCTAAAACTTGGAGAGTTAAGTTTCAGTTCTACTTCTCCCATCTAACTACCTATCTAACCATGAGAACTAGTTGCTTAACCTTTCCTGTTCTCAATTGCCTTTTCTACTGAGACAATTTGCAACTTTTAGTATAATATACTTGTTTTGCACATCATCAAGCACAATGGCAACCATTTGGTTATCTCTTAACATTAGGGAATAGAAAATCTTAGGATGTTAGATATTGGTATACATGATTAGAAACTATAGTTCTTCTCACTCATAAGCCTGTATTTAGAGAGATTTGATGTTCTGTTGGAAGGTGCAATAAAGGTTTTACAGATTACCTTTTCAGCATATCCAAATAGTTTTCATTGCTTACTCCTCTACCACTTGGTACACAGTGAAGATAAATGACCCTGTTTTAGTAGAAGAAAAGGTATGTGATTTTTTTTCCCTATATTCAAGTCTAAATTTTAAATAATTCAAGTCTAAATTTTAAAACAGTTCTCCTTTGAACTCTCCTGCACACTGCTGAATTAATCTTAAAAGCATCCATGATCAGGTTACTACTCCCTTGCTTGAGGGTTTTCTCTTTCTGTTAAGATAAAACTTCCTTTTTTTTTTTTTTTTGAGACAGAGTCTTCCTCTGTCACCCAGGCTGGAGTGCAGTGGTATGACCTTGTTTCACTGCAACGTCTACCTCCTGGGTTCAAGCAATTCTTGTGCCTCATCCTCCCGAGTAGCTGGAACTACAGTAGGCATGCACCACCACACCTGGCTAATTTTTGTATTTTTAGTAGAGGCAGGGTTTCACCAGGTCGTCCAAACTGGTCTCGAACTCCTGACCTCAAGTGATCTGTCCAGTTCAGCCTCCCAAAATGCTGGGATTACAGGCGTGAGCCACCACGCCTGGCCTGTTAAGATAAAACTTCTAAATTGAGTTTTCTTCCTTCTTGCTTGAGTTAACCAGTCCAGATTCACATATCATGACTGAAACTTCTTATCCAGCCAAATGCATCCCTTTCCCACCTTGCATACTTTCTAAACACACGCTTCCCCCCCAAAAAAAACAGACCCTTTTATGCTGTTTTTTACCATGCTCGGTGGTTTTTTGTTTTTTGTTTTTGTTTTTCCTTCTTCCAGACCTAGCCTCTTCCTCTTTCTGGCTACATATCTGAATCTGTCCTCATCTTTCAGACCTCAGTTTAAATTCCCCTTCTTAACCCAAGTTCTCGTTGACTGACTACAGCCCAAACAGATCAGTCATTTACTGAATTCCCCCTAGCTCTCATTTATTGTTTTTAATGGTTCCTTACATAATTCATGTATGCCCCTCACTCACACTTCTATTCTCTTAAGTAACTGTTTATTTTTTATTACTTTTCACATTTTCTTATACCTACTTCCTCGAACAAGATTATAAAGAACCTTGAAGAAGGCAGAAAGGAGAAAGAAAAATACTTATCTAGAGCATACTATGTGTTATACTATCCCAGCTTTGCATACTTTATTTCACTGAATCTTTACGTTATGAGGAAGGTAAGGGGATCTTTTATTTACAGATAAAGAGACAGCGTCAAATGAGTTAAACAGTTTGCCTGATGTTTTACCACTCTAAGTGACAGATTGGGAGTTTGTACCCAGGGCCACCTGATTCCAAAGCCTACGTTCTTCTTACTACCCTTTATTGCCTCATGTTTTTATGTTTTGATTTCTTTGTAGTATGATGCCTTATATATTAGGAGTACAATAAACATTTAACCTGTATTGGGCTTCTTGATTCCTTTCCATTTTACTTTTTGCTTTTTACTAGTACTTCTACCAGAATATAAGCAGAGGCAGTGAAATATAAATTAATAAATTCTGCTTTTTATCCATTTTGCAAAAGATTTAAAAGGGAAAATGTGAACACTTTTGGCATAGATATAGGGATTTGAATCATCTTTAGATGGTCATCATCCATGCAGTTCCTACCCATTATTCTTATAGATTACAGAAAAAAAAGGGAGGGGGCTTCTTTAAAAAATGGAAAAAATTTCTTCAGAATTTCATTTTTAAAATGTGTTTTAATGCTATCCAAAGCATCAGAAAATACAAGCCATGAATTGTCTTTAGCCAAAAATGTTTCCTCTTTTGTAACTTTGCTTAAAATAAGGAAACCATACGGTTCCTCTTTTCAGTTAGCTGAAAAAGGAATTAGAGAAGGAAAGAGCCCAAATAGGAACTTAATTATAAATCCACGTTAGTTTGTAAGATCAATTTTGATAGGCTCCTGTCCTCTAATGTCAGTAGTAAGCTGGTGGAACCCTCCATGTATGAGATTTTCACTTGTCAGTTAATGGTTATGGCAATATTAAAACCAAATTCCATTTTTCGCCTATCCTAACACTTTCTACCACTCTTCAGTTAGCTTTTTATCCTAGGATCTGCGACATCAGAATACTAGAAACTGTATTAGAATTCTATGATGGCAATTCAGCATAGTCCAGAGAAGGAGGCGAACGATTTAAAAGAAGAAGAAATAGGGAATATAGTAGTGGAAAAAAATGACTTTTTTCCCAGAGGTAATGAGGCCAGTGTGTGGAAGGTTATTTAGCATACACATTTTAAAATATGTAAGTGGTGTGTACCTGAAGTACCAACATTTTTCTGTAGGGAAAGAACAATATTGGGCAGGGGAATAAAAAGGAGGAGAAGATTTAGAATAAGATAAAAGGCAGTGCAGAGAAATATGAATAACACAAAAGAGAAAAAAAAAACTATAGGAAGCAGCAAACAGAAAAGAGGAAGGTCAATTGACTAGAGAAGATACAGAAAAGAAGAAAAGTTAATAAACAGCTGAAAAAAAAGCAGTGGTTATATAATTAGCAAGAAGGCAGTGTAGATGATTGAAGCAGGCAAAATGAAGAAGTTGGGGGTGGGGGCAGATGATTGAAGTAGATGAAAGAAGCAACGGCAAAATGCTGCTCTGTCGTGGCTGGCCTGTGTGTGAGTGCAGGGAGCCAGTAAAGAGGAGCTTGCTTTCTAAAATGGAGGACCAGAATGAACCATCCGTTCAAATTCATTTACCTTTCATTTCAGGCTCTCCTGTCTGCTGTGAGTATCCTTACCATCCTCTCCCCCACCTTTTTTTCCTGACACTATCCAGAAGCATACCTAGCAATTACTCCAAAGAACCCGTGTACCTGTGTATATTTTATATAGAGTTTTTCTAGAAATCCCTTAGTCTGCTGCTCAAGCAAATACCAAATTTGTCAGCCCTCATATGCCAGTATTTTACTCATTATTATAGGCTGGCACTTTGATGAGGTTTAAATCTGTGATTTTGGTTCTTTTTCTTTGCTGAATATTTAGAGTATTTTAAAAAGAAAAACATAAATGTAACTAAACATTTTAAAGACAGTTACAGCGAAGCAAGAGTCCCCATGTATAAGACATGTTCCTTTTTTTTTTTTTTTTTTTCTTTCTTTCGGAGACAGGGTCTAGCTCTGTCACCCAGGCTGCAGTGCAGTGGTGCAATCTCAGCTCAATGCAACCTCCACCTCCTGGGCTCAAGCGATCCTCACACCTCAGCCTCCCTAGAGAAGCTGTAACTGCAGGTGCGTGCCACCATGCCCAACTAATTTTTGTGTTTTTTGTAGACACGGGGTTTCACCATGTCACCCAGGCTGGTCTTGAACTCCTGGACTCAAGTGAACTGCCCACCTTGGCCTCCCAAAGTGCTGGGATTATAGGCATGAGCCACCAAGCCAGGCCATAGACATGTTCTTATAAATATAGTGCATAAGTACTTAAAGGGTCCAGCATTTAAAATTGATGCTGTTAAGTTGCAGATGATAGGAAGTATGTCATTGTCTTTTAAAGAGAATCAAGATTTGGAGAGTATGTCCTAGACAAAAGGCAAGTATAGATAGCTGTATCAATTACTTTGATATAATAAAAGTTGTGATGCAAACATAATAGATTAAAATTTAGCAGTAGTATTATCTCTGACTAGTGAAGTTTTGAAACGATAAAGGAAAAAACCAGCCATTCTGCATCTTGAGGAAGAGTGGAAAGAAAAATTGACCTTCACCTACAGTAGGAAGTATTTGATGACCATCTTGTATTGTGATAGTGACCATTTACTGAGCACCCACCAAAGGTTAAGCAGTATCCTATTTTAATTAGCTAGGTGGTGGTTTTTTCATCCTACACATAAGGAAACTGAGACACCAAGATGTTGGGTAACCTGGCAGTATCACAGCTCTAAGTAGTGGCACTAATACAAAAATCATGCTAATCTTGTGCCAGAATCCTTTCTTTCTATCACATTTCACTATATGTGCTATACTGTCTTTCATAGAAAAGTTATGAAATAGAAATGCTTTATGAAGGAAGGAGATGTGAGTTGGCGGGAATTATATGTAAAGTAATTAAAGTAAGTTTACTGAAAAATTTTTTTTTCCTTTTTTTAGTTTATTGAAAATTTTATGGTGATTTTTTTTTAAAGCTTGGACGTCGAAAGGCTTCAGATTTATGTTTCTCAATTCAAACTTAATCAGAATTAAAGTTCCCTTCTAAATGGAGTTATGTAGGAATTAGCTGGAAAACACAGGCACTACTAGTAAACTGTAGTTTTGGGAATAACCCTTTAAAAACATGTATGGGGCCAGACGCAGTGGTTCCTGCCTGTAATCCCAGCACTTTGGGAGGCCGAGGCAGGCCGATCACTTGAGGTCAGGAGTTCAAGACCAGCCTGACCAATATGGTGAAACCCTGTTTCTACTAAAAATACAAAAATACAGGCATGGTGGCAGGTGCCTGTGATCCCAGCTACTCGGGAGGCTGAGGCAGGAGAATCTCTTGACCCTGGGAGGCAGAGGTTGCAGTGAGCCAAGATCGTGCCACTGCACTCCAGCCTGGGTAACAGAGGGAGACTCCGTCTCAAAACAAAACAAAACAGCAACAAAAAAACAAATGTATGGGATTCTATGATGACAAAAACACACCATAAGGATTCATGGGAAATTTTTTAGTTTAATTTTATGAAATATGATAGTGAAAAAAATTTAATAAGATTTTATGACTTAATATGCATAATGAAATAAACTAAATATTAGAAGCAGAAAAATACATAGACAAGCCTAATCTGAAAAAGAGATAAATATCTTTATTTTCTGACTTCCACAATAATTACTTAGAAGAAATCCTTCTAAGAGAAAGTCATGAGTATTTATTAAGTGTTGAAATGGGATATCACCCACTATGAACATATTATTCCCTGAAATTACAAGTGTGTGTAAAATACTCTTTGCAGTTTTTATTTGCCCATTTTACCCACAGCAAGCATCTTTTGTGCATATTAACAATTTTCTATTGTTTATTCTTTGGGTTTCTTCTATCTTATACTATGTTCTAAAGTCTCATAATATGACATAAACACGTAGGTGATATTAATATATGCATGCATGTTTGACTATTGAATAACACTTTTGGCTTAGTAAGCTTTCAAAATGAGCCATAATGTTTTCATGTCATCATTATTAAGTATAAAAATCTATATGTAAAATATAAAGCATGTATAATAATAATGAAGCACATATAATAATAGTAATATTAATCAAATACCACATCTGATTTCTTTTTCTTTCTAAACTGAGTGAAGGTGACCATTCTTACTATGCAAACTAAAGGGGATACAAAAATTTTAATTTATGGATTATATTGTGTACAGGAAAATTTTATTAAAAGTACATTAGAACTTTTAACAATTAATATTTTGGAGGTTATAAATTCAGTCATAGCCCATGGAATCTAGTTCTATTTCTAACCCTTACCTTTATCTGCCATGACCATAGTTTATTTTTAATTATAAAACTAAGGTTAACAAATATGATTGTGGCTGGGAGCAGTGGCTCACTCCTGTCATCCCAGCACTTTGGGAGCCAAGGTGAGCGGATTACCCAAGGTCAGGAGTAGGAGACCAGCCTGGGCAACATAGTGAAACCCCATCTCTACTAAAAATACAAAAAAAATTAACCAGGCGTGGTGGTGGGCGCCTGTAATCCGAGCTACTTGAGAGGCTGAAGCAGGAGAATTGCTTGAACCCAGGAGGTGGAGGTTGCAGTGAGCTGAGATCATGCCACTGTACTCCAGCCTGGGAGACAGAGTAAGACTCCGTTTCAATATATGTCTCTGTGTGTGTGTGTGTGTGTGTGTGTGTGTGTGTGTGTGTGTGTGTATGTGTGAGATTAAATAAACTTAAAAGGTCTTATACAAACCTAGGTGAAAATGTTTTTCTGAGGCAAGCTGAACACTGAGTATTTTTAATTCTATGCAACAAAACCACAAAAACCTGCTATAGACATCTTTAGACTATCAGAGTTTAAGTTTAAAACACTAATGACAGTTTTTAAAATACATTTTATATAAAGCAAGATCAAACCAAATTGTGTGAAAATTTTCTTACCTCAGCTGTTAACTTCTTTTGCAGAATGCTAAATTCTTGTTCTAACTGCACATTTTGGTGATTTGGCTAAGAAAGGAAAATGGGTGGTTCAATTCAGATTTAAAATGTTCCTCTAGCAAACTGAAATAGCTTCTGTAGAAAAAGAGGAAGTTTATCAATAGCTGGTTCCGGAAGTGCAATAAACCACAAAGTGACTAAGAAATATATTACTTTAACAGAATTTATTTTGAAATACATTTTGGAGCCCTATGATTTGAGTGCTTTTAATTAATACATGTAAATAAATATTTGAGATGCTCTAGTAATATGATTATATAAATTAAATATTTAGGGTGGGGTCCTGAAGAGAAAATTACATGTTCTAAGAAGAAAAGCTGCCAGTTGGGTTATAGTGAGATTTCTTCTCATAAGAAATGAGTGATGTGTTCTGTTTACTTGTATGACCTTAGGCAAGACTCTGCACTTCTGAGTCACCATTTCTTCTTCTAAAGGAATATTTTATTCGGTTATTGTGAGGATTAAATAAGATAGCATAATATAACATGTATAAATGCCTCACCCACTGTAGGTAACCACTAAATGTAATGTTATTTCCTCAGTGTAAAAAGTCCAGGGTAAAAGTATAATTACATTATTTTGCAAATGACAGGATTTCATTCTTTTTTATGGCTGAATACTACTCCATTGTGTATATGTACCATATTTTCTTTATCCACTCATCTCTTTATGGACACTTAGGTTGCCTCTAAATCTTGGCTGTTGTGAATAGTGTTACAACAAATATGGGAGTGCAGGTATCTCTTTGTACTGTTTTCCTTTCTTTTGGGTATATACTAGCAGTGGGATTGCTGGATCATATGGTAGCTCTATTTTTAGTTTTTTGAGGAACCACCAAATTGTTCTCCATAGTGGTTGTACTAATTTACATTCCCACCAACAGTGTACGAGAGTTCCATTTTCTCTACATCCTTGTCAGCACTTGTTATTGCCTGTCTTTTGGGTTAAGCCATTTTAACTGGGGTGAGATGATGTCTCCTTGTAGTTTTGATTTGCATTTCTCTCATCAGTGATGTTGAGTACCTTTTCATATGCCTGTTTGCCATTTGTATATCTGTAATTAAATTATTTTGACCAAATATTTTACTAATGACTATTGAGTTCAAGTTCACAACCATTTATTTGGTTGCCCACACAGTAGTTACTTCTCAGTGGAAAATAAAATAAATTGGGGATCATTTTTTAAATAAGAATTTAACTAAAGTTAACTTGTTACTAAAGGGTAGTGAGGAGATGGAGAGATGGTGTTACCAGTTAATAGGTACAAAAAACAATAGAAAGAATGAATAAGACCTATTTGATAGCACAACAGGGTGACTATCATTAATAATTATACATTTTTAAATAACTAAAAGTGTAATTGGATCCTTTGTAACACAAACGATAAGTGCTTGAGGGGATGGGTACCCCATTCTCCATGATGTGATTATTTCACATTACATGACTGTATCAAAACATCTCATTACCCTTTAAATATATACACCTACTATGTACCCACAAAAATTTAAAATACAAAAAATTTTGAAGTTAACTAAACAAAGTATATTGAAAAGAGTGAGTCCATCTGAATAAAAATTTCTTTGGGTAAGTCACCTTTCCTCTCTTGAGAAATGGAGATCATAATTCGTAATTTATAAGCTTATGGTGGAATTAAATAAATGTAATGTGCCTTGCATGGTGCATATTATAGTAGATATGGAATGTGTTAACCCATGCACTGCTTTTTCCTGGTCACTGCAGGAAACACAGGTTATTATGACCTGGTTCTTAACTTCAAGGTATTTACAGCTTGGTGCAAAAACAATAGATTTTTTTTTTTAACGGGCTCCTACTATAAAGCATAATATACTCAAATGCTATATAAAGCTTTTGATTCACTGATTTTTGGAAGTATTGTTGTTTTTAGAGACAGGGTATTGCTGTGTTGCCCAGGCTGGTCTCGAACTCCTGACTTCAAGCAATCCTCCTGCCTCAGCCTCTTGAGTAGCTGGGACTACAGGCACATGCTACTGTGCTGGCTGGCTGACTTATTTATTTATTGTAAAGATGAGGCTGTTGCTTTGTTGTGCAGGCTGGCCTTGAACTCCTGGCCTCGGGTGATCCTCCCACCTTGGCCTCTAAAGTGTTAGGATTATAGGTGTAAGCCACTGTGCCTGACCTGATTCACTATTTTTAAATCTCTGAATTAAGCTGGTGAACTGTAATACCCAGGGATAGGGAGTGTGTTTTTGTTCAAAACTAAATGTCTCTTAAATTTTGAACTCAAAGGTATCTTACCTACCATTTTTAAATACCTGTCATTTGGAAAGGAACCACTTCTGTTTGTTCAGTAACTATTATTGGATAGTATCATTCTGAGAGTATATGTTTAGTAGCCAAGATAGTAAGTAGTGAATTTTAAACATTCTTTTAAATATCCCTGTGGTAGAAGCTGTCTGGTGAGAAAATGTTTGACTAGTATGTTGAATATGAAAGTAATTTCCTAGTTTTATAGTGATACTAATTTATTTTAATTTTCTCTGACAAGTATTTATTTAACGACCCTTGATTCAAGGAGTGCTTTGTGTTATTACTGGATGTGTTGGTGCACAATCTCAAATTTTCAATTTTTGCACAGAATGGAAAGTCTGTCCAGTTTCATTTCTAATCTGGGTCATTTTTCCGCTCAAAAGATAACCTGATTTCAGTCACCATGACTGGCATGAATATTCTTATGCTTTCTTTTTTACTTTGTTGACACTTAACTTTGTCTGGAATAATATTTTTATGATTTCTTGTTTAGAGAATAGATTTGGTTTTTACAAATTGCTAATAAATTGATGATAAAAATGATGCTTTATTTTTTTCTCTCATTTTAATAATACCTAGACGTTTAAATTTGATGACCAAGAGCAGCTATCACCTTGAGAGTTATGTAAAAATTACCAGTGCCTAGAGTTCACCCCATTCCAGTTGCATCAGAAGGAAGACATAGGGATTAAGCATTGGTGTTTTTAAAAAACTTTTCAGGTGATTCTGACATGCAGCCAGGGTAAGAATCACTAGCTTAGAAGGGAGAGTAAGGTTGTAGTCATACTTGGGAAAAAATGTATAAAAAATATTTTTTAAAATGGTTAGTATATTGGCCAAAATAAATGCCCAATAAGGGATGAGTTTTTTGAAATGTGGCCTGATCTTAGCCCTGTGTTAATTTCAGTAGATATTTGGAAAGTCTGTCAAACCAATTTTTGTAATATATTTAATTGAAGATGGGGGGGTCTCAACTTAAATGTAAGTCATTATTTTACTTGAAGCCAGTTTATTGAAAGGTTAAATAATAACCTGAAGTATCCAGTTTTCCAAATTTGAACATACACACACACACACACACACACACACACACACACACACACACGCACCCCCCAAATCAATCATTAGGCTACTTGGCATCTTGAAGTCCAAATATTAATCAACCCTTGAGTACTTGTTGTTAATGTTCCAGTAAGTAGTATTTATAGAAAAGATGAATATTATTAATCTTAAACAGTAAAACATACTTTACATTTACACTTAGCCTATTGGTGTGGGTATAAATCTTATTTTAGTCGTACTCTGTTTCTTACTGATCTTTACAACGTGTTCTCTAAAGTAATAAAGTGAATGGAAATATACATAGTCACAGGTTTATTCTGAGTTTTAATTTATTATACAAAATTAAAGGTTTTAATTTAATATTAATAGTAGAAAAACACTTTCTTATGTGTGCCATATGAAAGATAAAAGCATCTAGGCTAAAATTAGCTGTGTTGATTGATAAGCTGGTGTGGATTCTGCCACATCCAGCAAAGAAGGTACCATTAAATTGCACAGTTTAGCTCTATCTTTGCATTAGGAATTTGACTTCCATTTGATGTTAAAGCATATACTTGGCTTTAAGGACACTAAAACTCTTCAAAGTTTAATTACATTCAGACAAAGGTCATCTAACCACTATTGCTACATAGGGAATATTTATTCAGTTATCTCTTTCTATCTCTGTTAATCAGTTTCCTCAATTTATCCTTAAAACTTTCCTCAAATGCTTAGTTATTTTATTATTTGCTGTTTAAAATATTCAGTGTCAAAACAAAAGTACACAGTTTAAGTAATTAAGCAGGCATACTTCTTTCCGTCTCACCCACTTGATTCTAAATTACAAGGTCTACCATGTCAAATTTTAGATCATCAGAACAACACTTTGGGATTAAATACCAACTGACTTCATTTTTACTCCATAACCCTTCTCATTGCTACTTTGCATTTTTCTTCACTAACCCATCTGTTCGTTAGTAAGTTTTTCAGTTCCTTCTTCATCTTTTCTTTCTCTTGTAGCTGTGAGCACTCCAGTAGATTGCATCACTAGGTTGGGTCCTGTGAGCTGTTTTGTTCTTTTCCAAGTGTCTGATTCAGTGGGCCATAGACCGCTTGCCAGAAAATCACCATTGCTTCTAGGCTGACGCTTGCCTGCTTGTTTTGATCGTCTGAGAGATGAGACTTTGTTTGCCAAAACCACAGTTGATAGAAATAGAAAGGTACAGATAAGAAAAAGCACTGCAATTATAATTAAGCAAATTAGCATAGCCATGTTGTTGTTGTTTTCCGCACAGACATCCTTTTTGAAAATTTCACCATGACTTTTACTTGTGCTTTCAATGCTCTGTACTGTTGAAGGACTGTTGCTGACGACAGAAGGTATATAAAGCTCCTGTTCAGATTTAGAAGTTAAAGATACGATGTGAGATGTTTCAGGCATGTTTGTAGAATTACCTTTATAATCTGCTTCAGGAGTTATAGGGTTTGTGTTAATGTTTTCATTTTGGCTTCTGCCTGTCTTATTTTGAATAACTGAATCCCAGGAAGTAGTACTGTTAGCCCACAGATGGGTATAGTTTGCTTTTGTTCCAGGAGACAAAGAAAAAACTGTTGTCATCAGAAAGGCAAGATGTAGGTAATGTCCTGTGTGTTCCATGTCCATGGGCATACTGGTAATCTGTTGGGATAGCAATATAATTTGTTAGTTTGTGAAAGAATAATGGATCCTAGTTTTGGTAACTGTAGTTAAAAGATAGTGTTGAGATGTTATGGGTAAACTACAAGCTTATGCCTAATATTCACTACCCTGAATTCATTCTCAACTGAATTTCTTTCCTATTCAGCTATGTGTGAAGAAGCATTTTACTTTCTATTACACTTTTAGATGCTAGAAGTTAGCATTACAAATAAATATTAATCATTTTAAGTGGAATATCATGACTTTATATGGTTTTCTCCCTTTGAAGCATGTTAGACTTCTGCTTTGAGTCAGTCAGTTCTGCTTTTACTTCTCTGATTCCTTCTTTAAAAAAAAAAAATTAAGAATCATTCTTGCAGAAACTACCCACCCTCTAACCTGTCACCAATCTTTACAGAAGAAATGTGACCTTGACCTTCTTGCTTCATGTATGAAATAAAAATGCAAATTTTTTTTGGTGGAAAGAGGGGAAGTTTGGTAGCAACCAAAAGAAACTGAACTTCTAATAGGAATTCAAGGTGTTCTTTTTCCTTCTTGGGTGTTCATCTTGAAGCTTAGAATAAAGCTGGTACTTAGAAATATATTTGTAAGTATATTTGTGAACACAGTTTTACTGTGGTGGTTGTCTCTTTTCATTTCTGTTTCCCCGGACTGACTATATCTTTCTGAAGGCAAAGGCATATTGGTTTTCTCAACCTAAAAATCTGAAAAAAAGCAGAAGATTTCCTCTGAATAGACTTAAAAGTTCAATAGAAGTTGTTGGGTTTTCTTTTAAAGCATCATTTATACTTAGCATTTTTTCTGATTTGACATAATTGTAAAAAAACAAAAAAAAAAAGAAAAGAAAATATGTAATAAAATAGAAATAGAGCATCAGGATCTTGATTTGGGATGAAGTGGCAGATTCTAAGCATCTCAACATATAATTGAAAAAGTTGAATTTCCACTTTGGCCCTGAGCTTGTTGGAAACCAGAACAAAAAGGAGACAAGTTATATTATAAATTTTTATTATCTACCATATAATTGATTTAAATAGAAATGGCATATCTTAGAATTTAACAGTTTCATGTACCGCTAACCCAGCAGGAAAGATTTATAATCATTATTGAGGTATCTTATAATAATATACCTGTTTGTCTTGAGCTACTTTTGAAAGGAGTATTTTACTGTTAGCATTTATTTGAATGAACTAAAAGCAAAACTGTATTGTTCTCCTGAGATTTACTAAATGAAATTGCCTGGTTAAGAACCCTATGTGTGCTATAGAAATTCTTCTCAAATGTACATAGGAGTCCTTTTTTTAAAAAAAAGAAAAAAGCAGATTCTTACCTAGCTAGTATAGGTAGGGCCTGAAAGTCTTTGTTTCCAAACCAACTCCTAAGCAACATGGATGCTACTGCTAGTCGGGCTTTTGAACATCAAGGTTTTATAAGAAATGGTTGTTATATGTCATTGGCTAACATTTGTATACTATTAAAATAAAGAAATTGAAAATAAGAAATGTGATATGTTGAGTTATACAAACAAAACTAGCATGTAATAAACAATGCTAACTGGAGACTATATTTCGTATTAATAGTAGGAAGGAAAAACTCTATTATTAAATATTCTAGGATTAAGATTACTTTTTAGATTATGACCTTTAGTAGACAGTTAAAGGCACAAGTCACTGGCTTTTATATAATAGTGTTCATCTTTAATTTTTAAGTTTAGTGACATAAATCTTTGGATGTTTCATGATTATTTCACAAAAAGAAATACTTGAAATTGGATTAGCAAGTAATTTCCTTCTTTTTATACTAGACTGGACTTCTGTATTAGATGCTATAATGATTTAAAGTGGATTATTCTTGTCACATTAGTTCATTAACAGTGTAGTATACATCATAGTATTGGTACACATTTTAACAGTGCTTACCACGGGACAGATAATAGGCCTGCTGTTGATTGTCTTCAGCCAGATGTACTGCAATGCCCAAATAAACAAACTGTATGACAAAATGAGACTTTCTCTTGCCCTTACAAATGCCTGAGAATTGAGGACTGTTTTTACACCAGTTTATGCCTTGGAGGCCAGGTTGTGTTATCAAAAGTTTTCTTATCTCTGATCATTTTTGGTAGAATTTATTTTCAGTAGAATTTGTAATGTCCAAGCATTAGTGAAATTTATTTTTTAACTTTTGAAAAATAACAAAACATGTGCGGTTTACTTGTGAAATCCAAACTTAAATCTTTCCTAGTCCTAATTTAAAACTCCATGGCGATGGTAAATTTTTTCATTTCTAACTTAAAAGTTATGTAATAGGACAGAAAAAAAAGTATACATTTTCAGTCACTTACGATTCTAGTTTGTTAGTGAAATTCTTATACATTTTGATAGCATTTCCTCAAACACTAATCTGTCAAAAGTTAGAAGTGAAAAGGCATAAGAAAAGCCATATATATATACATATGACCTACCTTACAAAATGCTTGGTCAAAATCTGATTATAACGTGATTTTGATAAACCACTTCTTTTCTTGTCTTCTTATTTAAAGCAGAATAGACTTGGAGAATATGAGCCTTAAAGTAAATCTGCAGTAAAAAAAAGGATATGTGCAGCTAGTTTTCCACTTTTAAAACCAAACCACAGATGACACATTTCCTTTCCACTGCAACTAAAGCACATGTCACGGGGGGGGGGGAAAAAACGAAAAAACTCCAACTCGTCTAGTTGGCCACTGGCATGACAGGAGGCTTTGTAGAACAAATCCCCGCCTCCAGAACAGGGAGGGTTTTCCACTTAATGCCGTTTGACAGTATGCTCATTCTATAGGCCTGCTACATGCTTTAGTGTCATTCAAAAGAGGTTTTGAAATGGTATCTTCCATTTCAAATCTTCTCTAAAAGACGTATTTGAAATCTACAGACTGATTTGAAAATGTGAGTTTGGAGTCCATGGGATGCTGGTCAGATAATATACAATTGTGGAACTGCAACAATTATTTGAGAAAATATCTAGTAAGCTTAGATTATATGGGACAGAAAATGCTTTTGTGTGGTGTAGTGTGTATACACACACACACACACACACACACACACACACACAAACTGTCAAACATCCTGTCATCACCTCAAGTTTAACATGTCTGAAACAGACTAAGAATTGGGTATGGGCTGGACACGGTGGCTCATGCCTGTAATCCCAGCATTTTGGGAGGGTGAGGCAGGCAGATCACTTGAGGCCAGGAGTTCAAGACCAGCCTGGCTGACATAGAGAAAACCTGTCTCTACTAAAAATACAAAAATTAGCTGGGCCGGGTGGCGTGCCGGGTCCCAGCTACTTGGGAGGCTGAGACGGGAGAATTGCTTGAACCCGGGAGGTGGAGGCTGCAGAGATCATGAGATCTCGGCTGCATGAGCTGAGATCATGCCATTGCACTCCAACCTGGGTGACAGAGTAAGACTCTGTCTCAGAAAAACAAAACAAAACAAAACAAAACTGGGTATGGCAGCACCTATCTGCAATCCCAGCAACTAGGGAGGCTGAGGTAGGAGGATCACTGGAGCCTAGGAGTTCAAATCCAGCCTGGGTAACATAGCAAGACTCCATCTCTTAAAAATTAATTAAGTTAATAAAATAAAAAGAACTTTATTTTTTCTTTAAAAGAGACTGCCTGTCACAGTCTTCTTGTTTCTGTTCATGATAGCAACATTCTAATATCAGAGGCTTAGTATACAACACACCATTTTAATTCAAGTCTTCTCAGTCCTGATCAGACTTTGAATCATGTTGGTCCTTCCTTCATATTCTTGGATCAGTTTCTTTTTCCCTGTCTTTACTGTCTACAGTAGTATTTTAGATCCTTATCAGGTCATACCTAGACTCTACAGTACCTTTTCGGTAGCCCTGACTCCTTCATATATCTTGTATACATCACTTTCTTTGGTCATATCACCCCTTTCTTTAAGGGAAAATAAAACCGGTTGAACATTCCCTAATACTTACAGTAATGATTCAGAAATGTTTGTGTACTTAAACATCAGATGAGAGGGTTGTTTAAAAACAATAAAAGCAGGACATGGTGGCTCACACCTGTAATCTCAGCACTTTGGGAGGCTGAGGTGAGAGGATTACTTGAGCCACAGAAGTTCGAGACCAGCCTGGGCAGCATGGCAAAATCCTGTCTCTACAGGAAAAAAAAAAAAAAACCACTAGCTGGTCATGGTGGTACTTATCTGTAGTCCCAGCTACTCAGGAGGCTGAGGTGGGAGGATCACCTGAGCCTGGGGAGGTCAAGGCTACAGTGAGCCGTGAGCCGTGAGCCGTGACCATGCCATTGCAGTCCAGCCTGAGTTAAGAAAAAAAGAAAAAAAAAAAAACCATGATAAAAATTTCCAGGCCCCACTACATAGATTCATATTTAGTTGGTCCAGGTTGGGACCAGAAAACTGCATTTTTATCAAGCACCACAGGTGATTCTGATGCCAGTAGTCCACAGAACATATGCTGAGAAATGATGAGCCCCTAGGAGAAAACCTAAGCCCTTTGGTTGAGCAGTTATGGTCTCTTCACAATTTGACTATTCTGTATTTTCCCAGCTTTATCTCTCAAAACTTCCCTACCTGAATCCTCCATTCTGGCTAGACTAGCTGTCTCTTCAACACATCTAGTTACCGGTTTCTTTTCCTTTTTGTCTTTCTCCATAAGGCGTGCCCAATCCTCTTGCTGAGTTCTGCATTCCTCCTTACCCGATTCAGCCACTGTATCTTCTATGTAGCTGTCACTGACTGCCCAGTTTGTGTTGATCTCTCTCTCTCTCTTTTGTCTTAATAACAGTATTTTCTCTGCAGTTCTTTGACAAGTGATTACATTCTACCTCATATCGTTTATCTTGAAATATTTGACTTGTTTTAAAATCATTTGACTTGTCATATTTTTATCTTATTTTCTCCCAACAAGATTAAAAACTCTGAGGTGCAGTTTTTTATTGATACATGGTAATTTGTACATATTAATGGGGTATGTGTGATTTGTTTTGTTTTGTTTTGTTTTTGCTTTGTTTTTGTTGGAGTCTCGCTCTATCGCCCAAGCTGGAGTACAGTGGCGCAATCTCAGCTCACTGCAAACTCTGCTCCCCGGGTTCAAGCAATTCTCCTGCCTCAGCCTCCCAAGTAGCTGGGACTACAGGCACGTGCCACCACGCCCAGCTAATTTTTGTATTTTTAGTAGAGACGGGGTTTCGCCATGTTGGCCAGGCTAGTCTTGACCTCCTGACCTCAGGTGATCCGCCTGTCTGGCCTCCCAAAGTGCTGGGATTACGGGCGTGAGCCACCATGCCCTGCCTGTATGTGTGATATTTTGATACATGCATATAGTGTGTAATGATTAAATCAGGGTGATTAGGATATCCATTGCCTCAAAGAAAATAAATTGTTTCATCTAGCTGTTTTGAAATACACAACATTACTATTAACTAGTCACCCTACTATGAATAGTAGAACTTGTTCCTTCTATCTAATTATAATAATACATATATTATTTTTTTTTTTAAGACACTCTCACTGTTGCCCAGGCTGAAGTGCAGTGGTATAGTCTCAACTCACTGCAGCCTCTGCCTCCCAGGTCCAAGTGATTCTCGTGCCTCAGCCTCCCAAGTAGCTGGGATTACAGACATGCACCACCATTCCTGGCTAATTTTTGTATTTTTAGTAGAGACAGGGTTCTGCCATGTTGGCCAGGCTGGTCTCAAACTCCTGGCCTTATGTAACCCACCGGCCTCAGCCTCCCAGAGTGCTGGGAATACAGGCGTGAGCCACTGTGCCAAGCCCTAATTATATTTTTATATCCATTAACCAACCTCTGAGGTAAAGATATTTATTTTAACTTACTTAGTAGTATTATCACCAGAATCATCACATACAGAAAACTTTGGGCCTAAGTTAATATAGATTCTTTTGATTTGAAACTTTGGTGCCATTACTTCAGGGCTTTTTCATGGTCATCACTGTGGCTGCTCACATTTATTAGTATTCTTTTGGTTTTTTTTTTTTTTTTTTTTGAGACGGAGTCTCGCTCTGTCACCCAGGCTGGAGTGCAGTGGCCGGATCTCAGCTCACTGCAAGCTCCGCCTCCCGGGTTCACGCCATTCTCCTGCCTCAGCCTCCCGAGTAGCTGGGACTACAGGCGCCTGCCACCTCGCCCGGCTAAGTTTTTGTATTTTTAGTAGAGACGGGGTTTCACTGTGTTAGCCAGGATGGTCTCGATCTCCTGACCTCGTGATCCGCCCGTCTCGGCCTCCCAAAGTGCTGGGATTACAGGCTTGAGCCACCGCGCCCGGCCTATTCTTTTGGTTTTAAGCAACATATGACCTAATATGGCTTAATCAACACACGGTATTTATTGGCTTATATAACTAAGTAGTCCTGGGATAAATTTGACCCCAGGAGAGGCTTTATCTAAGACACAAATGATATGGCCAAAGCTCCAGTTTGTCTTTTTATTTCTCAGCTCTTTCTCTTCAGTCTTTTGGGAAGCTCTTCTTTTATATCCCAAAATATGAGCTAGCAACTCCTAGGGCTATGTATTCCCTTGTTTATAAACACCAGGAAAGAAATATCTCAAATCCCAACAATTGAAGCTAAAGTACCTGAACTGGGCCTCTTTGGCTCTGGTTGTCCTGGTTTGAATCATGTGTTCATTGCTGAATCAGCCTGTGATCAAGGTGGGATAAATGGATTGGCTAAAACCATCTCACTCCAGAGCTCCAGATGGGTCATTCCTACCAGACTGTTTGCCTAAGGAGTTTGGTGAGCCTGCAGGCAACCTACTAATTCCCACTGTTTTCTTCCCTTCTTGACTAATGAGCAAATTTGTTATTGTTGTTGTTGCTCAAAATTTTTGAATTGGAGATTTGTCTCTTCTCTTAGCCTTATTTCTCAGTGTTCAAAAAACAACTGATTTAAAAAATGAATCCAGACTTTGAAGAATTGTTTTATATTATTCTCTCTAGAAAATGAATCATAAAATAAAATCGATGAGTGGCATCTGTATATTTATTTAAAACACTGTTAATATTATCTTTGTCTTTTTTGTCATTTTCCTTAGGTTCAAAACTGGTCAAATCAATGGTGATTTGCTGATATACCATGTCTTACTGACTTTAAAGCCATATTATGCAAAGCCATATGAAATTGTAGTGGACCTTACCCATACCGGGCCTAGCAATCGCTTTAAAACAGACTTTCTCTCTAAGTGGTTTGTTGTTTTTCCTGGCTTTGCTTACGACAACGTCTCCGCAGTCTATATCTATAACTGTAACTCCTGGGTCAGGGAGTACACCAAGTACCATGAGCGGCTGCTGACTGGCCTCAAAGGTAGCAAAAGGCTTGTTTTCATAGACTGTCCTGGGAAACTGGCTGAGCACATAGAGCATGAACAACAGAAACTACCTGCTGCCACCTTGGCTTTAGAAGAGGACCTGAAGGTATTCCACAATGCTCTCAAGCTAGCTCACAAAGATACCAAAGTTTCTATTAAAGTAAGTTTTAGTCTGTGTTTTGTAAATGATTCATTGCTTTTCTTGACTGACTAGACTATATCCTGGCCTCCCTAGGTGTCCTACCCCCATAGTGGTATATAAAATGTCACGTAAGGCCATTGCAGTGGCTCACGCCTGAATCCAAGCACTTTGGGATGTCAAGGTGGGCGGATCGCCTAAGGTCAGGAGTTCAAGACCAGCCTGGCCAACACGGTGAAACCCCGTCTCTACTAAAATACAAACATTAGCTGGGCATGGTGGTGGGCACCTGTAATCTCAGTTACATGGGAGGCTGAGGCAGAAGAATCGCTTGAACCCGGGAGGTAGAGGTTGCAGTGAGCCAAGATTGTGCCACTGTACCCCAGCCTGGGCAACAAAGGGAGACTCTGTCTCAAAAAATAAAAGGTCATGTAAATCTAGATGTAGGAAGACCAACATTTGTGTCATCATGGAGGTCCTGTGGAGGATATGAGACGTATACATTTTATTCTAGGTTAGGCTGGAAGTAGAAGAGCGTTTTGGAGAGGGCAGTTTGTTACGTCATTCAAATCGTAGGAATGTGTGGAGAGTAGAAATTACCTAATGAGAGTTCTTCTGATTATTGCATGCTTTTTGCAGAGTGAGGAACATGAACCTTCAGGATAAAATCAGTACTTTTCTGTAAGATTCTTTTTTTTTTTATTTGGAATCTCACTCTGTCGCCTAGGCTGGAGTGCAGTGGCATGATCTTGGCTCACTGCAACCTCTGCCTCCCGGGTTCAAGTGATTCTCCTGCCTCAGTCTCCCCAGTAGCTGGGATTATAGGTGCCCACCGCCACGGCAGGCTAGTTTTTGTAGTTTTAGTAGAGACGCGGTTGTTGGCCAGGCTGGTCATGAACTCCTGACCTCAAGTGATCTGCCCACCTCAGCTTCCCAAAGTGCTGGGATTACAGGTATGAGCCACTGCGCCCGGCATTCTATAAGATTCTTGACCTTTTCAAAAAGAAAAAAATTTTGTAAATGTTTATTTCTTTTGAGACATTTATCATAACAATTACTGAACCATTTGAATATACAATGGTGGGAACTCTTCCTTAAATGGCATAGTGTTTTGGTTGGTTGGTTGGTTTCTGGAGCCTTTTAGAATTTTATGTAAAATAATTGAATTCTTCTCCACTTCACCCCCTCACCACCACTTTCCAGGTTGGTTCTACTGCTGTCCAAGTAACCTCAGCAGAGCGAACAAAAGTCCTAGGACAATCAGTCTTTTTAAATGACATCTATTATGCTTCGGAAATTGAAGAAATCTGCCTAGTAGATGAGAACCAGTTCACCTTAACCATTGCAAACCAGGGCACGCCGCTCACCTTCATGCACCAGGAGTGTGAAGCCATTGTCCAGTCTATCATTCATATCCGGACCCGCTGGGAGCTGTCACAGCCCGACTCTATCCCACAACACACCAAGATTCGGCCAAAAGATGTCCCTGGGACACTGCTTAATATCGCATTACTTAATTTAGGCAGTTCTGACCCGAGTTTACGGTAGGTTTTTTAAAAATTCACTTCAGTTTTATTTGGGGTTTGTTGCTTTTAAAATGAGACCATTTAATGAATTTTAAAACAGCCTCTACCTTAATATTGTAAATTGGAAGGTATGCAGTGTTGGTTAACCACTGTGACATCATCAAGTTGTGGGGTATTCACATGAACTGTGGAATTCCAAACAGGGTGATTCACACTAAACCAATATATGTCCTTTCTCCAGGAAACTTTCATGTAAAACAAAATGACATAGCAGATTTTTTTTCCCCAAAGTATCCTAAATTAAGTTTTTCCTCCTCTAAGTCCTCAATTTTTTTTCCATTTTCAGAAGTATATCACTATTTAGTTTAAAAGTCAAGTCAGATTATCGTTTGACAAAAGGAGGCCTAATGTTTAATAACTTGGTAACAGTATTGCATACTTTCCACCTACATCACTCTTAACAAAATTCCCAAAATAAATCTTAAATACATCATCTGAGCAGAGTGTAATTGGTTCCATTTAGGGTTAATAATTTGAATATGCATGTGGAAAGAGCATGGCTGTGGAGTGAGTAGATTTGGTTTGAACAGATATGCCACTTTCTTGCTATGTACTTTGAGAAAGATACTGAAGTTCTCAGAGATCTAGTTTCCTCATTTGTAAAATAAAGTTAATTGCCTTCCTCATATACCTACAAAAGCTTAAAAAATAGTATGTGTAGTAGTATAGCATAGCAACCTAGCGAATAGTTTATACTTGGTAAGTAGTATTTTCTTATCTTACCTTTTCCCTCCCTGCCAGCGTCTCCTTGCACCTCTCCTTTACCAAGTTAGGATAATTATTTGTCTCAAGTACCTTGAGACTTTGAAGATTTTTACTGATGTAAATTCTTCTGAAAATTTTCCCTGAGGATAACATAGCCCAGATTTTATAGTGGGCCTTTTAGGATTCCAAATTCTCCTTTACTTAAAAGGAAAAAGAAAAAAAAATCAAGATTTATTTACTTGGACGGGCTTTAGAAATTGCAAGATTTTGTGTATGCTTTGCTTCCTTTATCTCCCCTAGGTGTCTGTGACACCTATCCTGGGTTGAGGAAGTCCAATTCTTTATAAATGTTGAAATACACAGGATAAAAGTTTTGTCAAAATTGTATAACTTAGAATTCCTGGGAATTAGTAAAAGATACAAGCTGAGCACCGTGGCACACACCTGTAGTTCCAGCTACTCAGGAAGCTGAGGCGGGAGGACAGCTTGAGCTCAGGAGTTCAAGGCTGCAGTGTGCTATAATCATGTCTGTGAATAGCCAATGCACACCAGCCTGGGGAACATAGTGAGACTCTAAAATTTTTTTAAAAAGGAAAAAAGATACATAAACTTAGAAACAATAACACTAATATTCACATTTTAGATACATGGAGCTGTAAGCCTGCCTTTAATTTCTAATTCAAAGACCTTCACTGAAAAATACAAACAAACAACCTTTTAACAATTATTAGCCTGGGTAAACCTGTATTCTTCTCTAGTGACCTAAAGCAAACTCTTACAACTTCTGCTTTTTGCTGAAACATGTCATCCCAGAGAAAAAGCCTTTAGGCAGACTTAAATTCTAGTGGCTTTGTTCTCCTATATGGTTGTTGCATAAATATAGTAGCATGATAAACATTCAGACGTAAGGAAAACCTGACGTTTACTGAGCAAACTATTTCCTTTACTGGACAGGGGAGAAAATTAAAATTTTTAAATTGAGTCTGAGTGTTTTAGACCGTCTCCTAAATTGCTTAAATATATTTTCAGACATTTGTAAGTGATGTTTGGTCTCAATGAAACCTGGATATTACAGGTTTTTTTCGATATTGGTGGTTGTATATGATGTAATGAGGTCATAGAGGGAAAAATGGGAGGACTTAATTATAAGTTAATTTTGTTTTTAACCTTCAGTTTGTAGGGTAACTTTTAGGACACCCAGAAAGAAGTTCAGCAGACCCTGATTAAAGATTTTCACATTCTAATTTGATGAAGGGAAGGGCCATCTGATACCTGTCCTTACAATCCCCATTATAACTGGATCTAGTGGGAAAGGGAACCAGAATTTGAGTTTTGGCTTTACTAAAAATGTATTGTGTGCCTTATTCTGACTTAATTTCTATTGATCCACCTTAGGACCATAAGTCCTTTCATATTTTGTGTCCCAGTAAGATTGATTTTAGGAAAGCCTGCACCCCGCCTCTCTGTCGTAGGAGCCTCACAGTGCTCTTATGGTTATATGAAGTGTCTCCCTTTTTATAAAATCCCTAAATGATTAAGGGGTATTTTGGTTTTACTGTGGAATTATAGCATCTTATTTCTAATTGATCATAAAACTTAAAAATAGTTGATCATACTTTGTAATAGAATCACAAATTGTATGTTATGAAAACATTTTGGAACTATAAGGAAAAATACGTTTTAAAACAACTTCATTTGTGTTTTCTTCTAGGTCAGCTGCCTATAATCTTCTGTGTGCCTTAACTTGTACCTTTAATTTAAAAATCGAGGGCCAGTTACTAGAGACATCAGGTTTATGTATCCCTGCCAACAACACCCTCTTTATTGTCTCTATTAGTAAGACACTGGCAGCCAATGAGCCACACCTCACGTTAGAATTTTTGGAAGAGTGTATTTCTGGATTTAGCAAATCTAGTAAGTAATGATAATTTTCTTTAATACTAATAATTATTCTAAGAGAATTCAAAGAAAACCCTTTCATTTCAGAATTTGCCAGTGAAGCCTTTCACTTATATTTTTACTTATTTTCCTCTTCTGATTTTATATCTGTGGTACCCTGTAACTGAAGGAACTCTGAAGGAACTTTTTGGTAGACCACATTGAGAAATCCACCAAAATTCTGACAATAAAAGCAAAGTGGCAAGAGTTTGGTACTTTACACAACTCTGGACCACTACTTTTCTTCACTGTTACAGTTTAAGTAGCTTCAGCATTTCTCTTGTTTGCAGAAAAGTTCACATAAGTATCCATGTTGCCTCCTTAATTTTAGAGAACTAATCATTTTCTCTTTTCTTCAGGTTGACTTTGAACAATAATTTTAAAGTACATGTACAGTTCACGGAGAGCAAGCACAGTGGCACATAATACAGGGCCCTGAGTCAGTTCTGACTTGGTATTAACTAAGTCTCATAAATTTAACATCCACTCTTTATATTTGTCCATCTTTATATCCAATCGCTTTATAAATGTTGATCTTCTCCCAACATATTTCCTGACCTTTTCTTCCCTTTCCTTTTCCAGTAATACATAAAACTTTTTTTTCTGCATTCAAACATATTTCTTGATTTTTCTATATTAGATCATTAAAAGCTTCAGCAATTCACTAAGACGCTTTTTCAGGTAAGAGATGTAGGAATATAACTCTAACAAAAAACAATGTGTAGGACAGACAAAACAAGGAAAATATAAACTTTAGTGATAAATATTAATATGAGAAAAGATTTGAGTGAATGTAAAGGCATATTGTATTCCCGCATGAACAATTCTTCCCAGATTATTACAAATTTAATGTAATTTCATCAAAATAACCATGGGATTTGAGGATTGAGAATGGAGATAGAACTTAAATGATTCTAAATTCTACATAAAAGTGCAAAAATAGCTAAGAAAATATTGAAAGGAGACTTGAGACTTGATAGTACAGATGTCTGAACACTTTATAGCAGTACAATAATTAAAACATACGTGTGCAAGAATCAGCCATCAGATCAGTTTAAGAGAAACAGATTGATAAAGAAGCATCACAAACTGATGCGGGAGAGATTAAGTCATTTAAGAAATGAAGTTGGGAAATGACTTAAATTAGGTCTTCATCTTCACCATACACCACAGGATACCAAGTGTGTTCTGCCTGTATTTAAGAGTTGAGTAGGACTATGTGTGGTGGCTCACGCCTGTAATCCCAGCACTTTGGGAGGTTGAGGCAAGAGGATTGTGCCTGGAGAATTGCTAGAGCCCCAGAGGTCAGGGCTATAGTGAGCTATCATTGTACCACTGCACTCCAGCTTGGATGATAGAGTGAGAGCCTGTCTCTATTTAAAAAAAAATAAAAATAAAAAAAATTTTTAAAGTTGTATATAAAAGCTTAGAACCATTTTAAAAAGAAGAGGAACAAGTGAATATTTAATTGCTTTCTAGATGAGTAAGGACATATGAAGTAAAAAAGGGATAGAATGAAACAAAGGAAATAGCAAACAGATTTGACTACATAAAACTTCAAAACATGTCTACTAAAAAATAAACACAAGTGAAGATAATTAAAAACTATGAAATACACTTGGAGCAAATATGATAAATGATTAATATCCTCAATCGGCCGGGCACAGTGGTTCATGCCTGTAATCCCAGCACTTTGGGAGGCCGAGGTGGGTGGATCACAAGGTCAGGAGTTCGAGGCCAGCCTGGCCAATATGGTGAAATCCCCTCTCTACTAAAAATGCAAAAATTAGCCGGGCTTGGTGGTGCATGCCTATAATCCCAGCTACTCAGGAGGCTGAGGCAGGAGAATCACCTGAACCCAGGAGGTGGAGGTTGTGGTGAGCCGAGATCACTCCGCTGCACTCCACCCTGGGCAACAGAGAAAGACTCCACCTCAAAATGAATGAATGAATGAAATCCTTAATCATGAAGAGTGCTTACAGATTAATAAGTGGATTAACAGTAACATACAAATCATGTTTTTAAAAAAGAATATTTGTACAAAAAAAGAAAAAAGCCAGGCACCATGGCGCATGCCTATAATCCCACCTACTCAGGAGGATCGCTAAGCCCAGGAGTTTGAGACCAGTCTGCACAACATAGTGAGGCTCCCATCTCAAAAAATATATATATTTATATTTTAAGAAATTCACTAATAAAAGCAAATTGAAAGAATAGTGAGATAATATATTTAGTTATCAGCTTGGCAAAGTTTTTTTTTAAGATCTATTCCTGGTGGTCTGTGGAATTGTGAGTATGGGCAATTTTTCTAGAAAGGCATTTGGAAGTGGATAACAAGACCTTAAGACTATTCATACCTTTTGTCCTCATAATTCTGCTTTTTAGCGTTTATCCTAAATAATGTTAAGA